TGCTCTGGGTACCCCTAATTTTCCCCGTCAGGTCAAACAAGAGTACTGTCAAAATACGGTCGAGTCATTGGGGCGAAGACTCAAAACCGTTGATTTCGGGTGGCCCACTGCCTGTGGCCGCCCGGCAGCGGGACCACTGAGCACCGGTTGGAAATGCGCATTGTGGTATGAGGTTGCGGGTTCAAAACTCAATTGCAATCTTGCGCGTGGACACCGGCAGGGCGTTAGATTGACGCACGGCTGGACACACTCTCTTGGGCTGACGCATGGTACTATTACAACCACTGCCTGCGCACCACCCAAGGGTTGTTCATGGTGTTGTATGTTGGTTCTGGGTTTCACATGGGTTGCTTGGGGGTGTTGGTCTTGTGTGTTCTGTTGATCTCCCCAGTCTGGCATATCACACGTTCGTGCCAATTCCACATGGTAGAGTCATACGATTACATGTTTCAAGGTCACGGGTTCGAGCTTGGCTCGGATCTTGGGGGGGTCCTTGTCCAACTTACCCCCTTCTCTCTTCTATATACACACATGATGTTGCCTATACATCTCTATACATTGATTCACAGAGCACACACAACCTTCGGGGATATACATAGCTTGCGAATTATACATGGCCTACGGGCTACATACACGAGTTTCCACACATAGTGTTGTCTGTACATCGTCATACATAGATACACCAAGCATACACAGCCTTCGGGTATACACATACATTTCGAACTACACAACTATCAGACTGGGGGGGTCTAGTCACTGGGTGGGGTCTAGTATCTGCGGTAGGGACAGGTATGGGCTACCGGATTTCCTACTGATATTCGGGTAGAACTGTCCAGTGGCTATATACAAGGCTTAGACCCTGGGTTAAGGGTAGGGGTATAAGTCGCTCAGGCCAGCTCCAATGCCTCCGAATTCCTTTCGATTTCCTGCCTGATCATCTCATCCATCTTCTTCATGTCTTCTAACTCCCTCCTTCGTAACTGCTCCTCCTTCTTCTCATTAATCATCTGTCTCAAGAATTCGCGTTCCTCAGAGGACTCCTCCGGCTGACGTCGTGGCGTCCAATAACGCGGCGCAAAAGACTGATTCGCGGAACCACCCCCTTGACTCCCTGATGCGCCGTGGGCCGAAGGGCATTCTCTCGCAAAATGTCCTTCCCCGCCACAATTGAAACACTTTCCCGTATTCGCAGCCATAATGGTAAAATGAAATTGCCACCAACTATCTAAGGAAGTCTAACCGGGATACGTCGGTCGAGACAGCTAGAAACAAAGATGCCTGCCACGTGGATCCAGACTTCCAAACTAAATCTAATCCTGACGGAACACCACCTTGATCAATCCCACCTCATCATCATGCAGAACAATGATCCTAATAAGGACATCGGGTTCGGCGATAACTAGAGCACATCGAAGTACAACACGCTCCATATCCACTCATTACCCAGTGCCAGGAGAAATGTACTCCCTCCAAAACTTAAAAAAGTGAACGTACTACCCTAGGATGTCGAAGACGTGGCCACCTACCCAGTGTGTAATCGCACTAGTGGTTGTCACGCAGATCGGAAAAGGAAAACTGTCCGGCAAGACAGACTGAGCATGAGAACGGAGACAAGCAAGATACACCAATAATCGTCCACTCCGTTGCGCACACCATAGAGAAAACAACTTCGACGATAGTATTCAAAGAACCCAAATAACAAAACATCCACGCGGCCAACCCYYGMCGCGTTTCGTCTATCCYGCACATAGACTCTTCAGGAGGAASTCAAAGAACACTATCTCAGACTGAATGGGGCCATACCTGTGCCTTGCCCCATTATATAGCTATCCTACTCCCTTCCTAACAGCTACCAAGATACGCGCGAAGTCGAGCACCCGTCCCATCATCACGTACTGAAAGCAAAGCCCACGTGCAGTAAGCCGACAGAAGAGCGCAAATCTCAAAATCACGAAATGAAAGTAAAGCCTGCAATCCGTAAATCGACAGGAACACGCTGCGGATTTAGATGTCCCTGAAACCGTCGCGAGATGGAGACAGCCGCTCGACATGATGCCAGTCCTTATGAGTACCTGCACAAAGCAATCAGGCACACAAGCACGGAACACACATCCAAGACAACAAGAACACAAGGACAACCAAAGCGGAGGCGAAATAGCATGCGCCTCCAGTATCCAGTCGTCGGGTGTGCTGAAGCTCAAGACGATGCACTATGTCAGAGAAGCAGGCCAGGCTGCTCAACCAGCATCGCGCCAGCAGTTCCAGCGATGAAGTCGATCAAGAGACACCCGCGAGCGTCGCCAAGGTATACGCTCCAACCGTCTGTGCACGTTCTTCCATCAATGAGAGGAAGAACAGGCGGTAGCTCGTAAGTTATACTGATTCGCACAAAGTGTCCCGCCACCCGAGCCTGGAACATAGTTCGGTGTCCCACAAACCGCTTGGTGGGAAAACTCCCAAAAACCGAACCAGTCGTCACAGCTGGGCAGAGATGCAGAACCCCGTGATTACTGAACGTGTCCCGAGAAAAAGCCAAGTTCATGGCAGAAAAAAAGGGCCCACGCAACGGTTGCGTAATTAATGCCTACTACACCTTACTCATACTACCGAAAAGGCTGCCAGGTCCATCCGTCGGATACAAAAWGTCCATAGGTAGGTTCAGGCGGGCCTGAAGCCCCATGGGAAGACGCCGCACCCCGGGCCGAGCACGAATGTACCTCTGAAAAGTAACCTCAAGCCAAAAACCTCCCAAGTGCATAAAATACAAGGCCCCATTGTACTGGACTCCGGGTCCAGTGTCCCATATCCTATCCTCTCGTTTCATACCTATCCTGCAGCAGGGTCGGGTGTGGCATCATCAAATGTTCATTTAAATCTCATGTATTCTTATAAGGGATGCTGGGCCCGGTTCGCAGCGCGTGCTGCTCCCCACGAATAGATTGGAGCCTTAGGATTCCATGTTACGATGCCCATGCAGGCACAGCCCGACCAGGCCCAGTTAGTCACCCAGGGTGGTGCAGCACAACAGGTGAGAAATAAGGGTGGGCCAGCAGGGCTGCCCAAAGTCATTTTCAGGGTCTGGACACCCGAGAAGTTATCTATCAGTCCAGACACAGCCTGCTTTCGGGTTTTGTTTCCGACTCCTCAAAACTGACATGCTTTTCCCCCCACCTCCCCCCAGAAAGATAACTCGCTTTTGTGACTCTACTGAAGTTATCCCTAACAAAATTTAAAGCTGCATGTTTCGGACAAGTTGAGCCTGTGCATCCCAGAGCGGAAAAGAAAACCCTGGATTCTTTCTGGCCCGCCCGGTTTGGCCAGGAAAACCACCCCTTAACCACCTGCCGTCGTCCGTCTGGGGAGGCAAACCTGGCGAGTCAGACATTTTTTAAAACCACCAGTACCTACTGCTTTTTTCGTACCCCCGGCCTCGAATCAATTTGAACCGGAGGCCAATTCGGCTTTCGTGTTAACGGCCGCCCCAAGCGGCAGGTACTGGTGGTTCAATCGCTTTCTAACATTATTTCAAAAAAAAAGAAAAAGTCAGATATTACGTTTCCAACGTTCTCTCTTTTTTTTTAAAGCTAACCTATATTCTTCTCTCAATTTCACCTCTCACTACCTACCTACCACTACTCCTAAGCCTATACAGGGGAGCGCTGCAAGCATAGCGCCCTCTCACAATCAAGGGGATGCATGTTGCCCCCCCGCCGAGGGGCGATGGTCAGGGAGTACAGTGGGGCTGCCGCCGGTGGGGGAGGCCGGGTAATTCAAAGACTGAACATTTTGCCAGTAGCTGTGCCTCCCATCTACTTCCCCGGTCCCCATCGAGGAACAGCAGTGTCTATGGCCAGCACTCACGCACCTCACAGACCCCCCCCACCTGTCTCTTATACACATCTAGATGTGTATAAGAGACAGGTCTACATGCAGCACTCTTACACATACCACACATACCCTCCCCCCCCCACACACACCTGTGATGGCCAAAGACCCTACCAATAATGACCGGGGGAAGCAACCCAAGTATCTCAGTTGGTTGGCACTAAGCGTGCCCAGGCGGGCAGTGGGGACTGCACCCACGACCTCCTGATGCCACTTGGGTGCCTAACCAACTGCTTGCTCGTATCCAACATTCAAGGGTGCCTTGCACTGCCTTCTATCCCCCCTAAATGTTCTATTAAGCCACCAGTCTCTTTCCCATCCATTGTTCTACAGTTTGGCCATTCTCACGCTGCGTCCGGTGGGATGCACCAGCCTGCCGGTTCACAGCCAAAACATCCATGCAAAACGCAATGTGCGCACGTCTGGTTTAGCCTCGCTGCAATTTTGGCCAACCAGCGGACCGGCACATCCTGCCTGACTGGGACAAGCACTGACCCGTCATAGAAAAAAGAATGGCTGGAAAATGGGGCCTTAACTTTCAAGGATTAGCATGGAGGATAAAATTTAGAGAATAGTAAAATTAGTAATTACAGCGTGCACTATGAACTGGTATGGAGGAGATATGCCACCCTAAAAGTTGCACCTTTTCTCTTCTTTCAAAACAGATTTCTCCATCCCTCTCGCAGAACAAGTCAATAGTATGCCATTGACTTGCAAATTGTGGGTGAATTGTTACGGGCTTTCCCTGAGTACAGACTGTGTGCATGGAATTGAAGCATTATACCACCGGTCCACCGCCAATGATGTCACTCCGATATAGAGAGAGACAGAGACAGACAGAAGGCGATCAGGATATAGGTACACTTCTGAAAACGCACCTAAACTTCATAAGTGATGGCCCCAAGCCAAGCCTTCCTGTCTGTTTGTCAAGAAACAAACTCAAGAAAAGTAATAAAGCCTAAACTTCATAAGTGATGGCCCCAAGCCAAGCCTGCCTGTCTGTTTGTCAAGAAACAAACTCAAGAAAACTAATAAAGATTGTATGTCAGTTATGAGCTTGATTCAATCTGCGGCAGTATATATGTGCAGAGTGTGGAGTCCCCACCCAGCAGAACCTGTGCAGGATGCACAGGCAGACCTATGAGAGAACTAACAGGCAGGCACTGGCTGAGAGCCAGAGAACTGACAGACAGCCGCCACCTTGTTGGACGTAACTTTCCCTAGCACTGCTTCTGCGCTAGGTAGTATGGTGCAGTGGGTGTGAAGAAGAAGTCCATCGGGATCGCTGCGACTGTGTCGACATAGCTCCAAGACCTCTGTGCAACAGTCGGCGAACCCTCAGCAGCAGTTGGGCTATCACTTGCCTGACACCATGAAGTCTATTTCAGCAAGAGCTCCTGGTCAATCCAGGTGGCTGCACCTGGCCACTGGCTGTGTGGTGTTCCTTTTCCTTCTAGCCACAATACGAACTTCCATGGCCATCCCTGCCACCCGCATTGAGAGAGACAGGACAAGTAACTTGAAGGAGTTTGAAATGAAGCTGGACAAGGCCACAAGGGTGCTTGCACATGTAGACCTCAAGGACAAGTACGACGACAAGGGAGGAGACTACAGTAAGGAAGACAAGGAGTACGGCAAGCGCGGAGAATACAAGAAGGAATCGTATGGAGGGGAGAAGAAGGATGATGAAAAGGATCAAGGGAAGGGATACGAGAAGGAGGAGTACAAAGGGGAAAATGCGAAGGAAGGTGAGAAGGAACACAAGGATGGAGAATACAGGAAGGATGACGACAAGGAAGATGAGAAGAAATACGAGAAGGGAGACTACAGGAAGAACGACAACAAGGAAGATGGGAAGAAATACGAGAAGGGAGAATATACGAAGGAAGAGAGGAAGGGAAACAAGGTCGACTACAAGATGGGAGAGTACAACAACGAATACGAAAAGGAGGTACATAAGAAAAATAAATATGATGAGAAGGACGGAAGGAAAGAGGAGTACAAGGAGGTCAAGAAGGGAGAATACAAGAAGGAAGACAAGAAGGAAGGCAAGAAGGAGGCTGAGAAGGAAGACGAGAAGGCAGAGTACAAAACGATGAAATATGACAAGGAAGATAACATGAAGATGTTTGACAAGAAGGAAGACAAAAAGGATGACAAGAAGACATACAAGAAGGAAGGCAATAAGGAAGACGAGAAGACATACAAGAAGGAATACAATATGGAAGACGAGAAGGATGGTGAGAAGGAAGACGAGAAGGGAGATTACCAAACGATGAAATATGACAAGGAAGATAACACGAAGATGTATGACAAGAGGGAAGATGAAAAGGATGACAAGAAGACATACAAGAAGGAAGGCAATAAGGAAAACGAGAAGACGTACAAGAAGGAAGACAAGAAGGAACACAAGAAGGCAGACGAGAAGGAACACAAGCACAAGACAGAAGACGAGAAGGCAGATAAGAAGAGTGGCATGCAGGACAACGAGAAATACAAGAATGAAGAGGACAACAAGAAGGACGATGAGGGCAAAGAGATGAATGGCAATGGAGAATACGAAAAGGAAGACAAAAAAGAAGACTCAAAGGGAGGCAAAAAGGAACGCAAGGAAGACGGTTATAAGACTGAAGATAATGGAGAGGGAGAAAACGAGGAGAATAAGAGGGGAGATAACAAGGACAATTTTTTTAACGAGGCTCAGATGGATGACAGGGAGAGTGGCTATGAGGAGTGCAGAGCCCGTCTATGCAAGGAACAGGGCACTTATGGCAAGTTCACATCCATGATGCATTGCGATGATATGGACTTTGACAACGATCACACCCATAGTGAGAATCCTCACTATAACAGGCGACACGGGTGATGCTGACAGGAAAAACAAGGGTTGGTTGGACGAAGTTAGGACGCTGGACCTGGTTTCCACCACGAGCACAAGCTGGGTATGGACCCAGTCGCATCTAGGTTGTTCATTGAAAATTACTGGCCTCTGTATCTAAAGTTTCAGTCTTTACCCCTCCTCTCACCCCACACAAAAAAAAAGAGCGAACGAAAGAAAGAAAGAAGGGGCAAGTTCCGCTATCATCGGCACTATGTCACAAACGAGTTTCGAAAGGGGCATTTGTTTCAAGAAAGAAAGAAAGAAAGAAAGAAAGAAAGAAAGAAGGGGTAACTTCAGTAGAGTCACAAAACGAGCTATAATTGCACTATGAGGCAAGATACAGTTTGCAATTGCACTTCGGGCACACTACCTGGCCAGAAAGCTAGGCTGTATACATTGCCGAAATTGCAACCTGGCCAGAAAGCTAGGTTGTATACATTGCCCAAACTGCAGTTCGAAACTGTATCTTGGCCCATAGTGCAATTATAACTCATTTTTGAGACTCCCGCATAGTTTCCCCAAGACAGACGGGCAGACAGACAGACAGACAGACAGAAAGAAAGAAAGAAAGAAAGAAAGAAAGAAAGAAAGAAAGAAAGAAAGAAGAGAGAAAAAGACAAGGCTGGCTACGACTACAGTGACGAGTTTTGGATCACCGAGGACTTCAAACGCTGGATGGAGGGACGCATGCTGCAAGATCTTATGTTCTTTACATTACTCAACTGCCCTAAAGTCCAGCCAACAGAGAAAGCCAAAAAAAAGAAGGAAAAAGAAGTGGACCGTTCCCCAGCATTTGGATGCACTGTTGCAAGCGAACAAAAAGGGGAAAGCCTTGAGCCGCATCTTTTCGCCAGAGGCAGTGGTTCGTCATTGAATCAGCCTTCTTCAACAATGGATGACCGACACACCATAACCTCCAATAAGGCTTCATTATGTCTCAGCTGAGGACATCACATACCATATCCAATCATGTCCAATGGAAAGCACCACTTTTTTCATGGGGTCTAACCCCTCTGATAGGTGAGGCAGAAGGGAGTACAAACTGGTGTTAGGGAGAGTGAAGGCAATGGTTGATGGATCATTCCGCATAGTAGTACAATCTACGTAGTATCCTTCGCTGATTGCTCAACCTTCTTTTTTTTCTTTTTTTTCCAAGGGCAGCAGTCTTGAGATATATGATAATTCACAGGTGACCGGCCCCAGGTAATTCGAGATCATTATGGAAGTCGTATTTGTAGATTTTATGTCATGATTTTTGGTTATTGAGCTTCTGCAATGACACGTATATTGAGAGTTTAAGCCTCTCGAGTCTTGACGTATCGTGAAATTGAGGGTCTCAACCCTGATGGGCATTGTTCCATGTTTTGGGATAGGCTCACACCTGCTCAGTCAATCCTCTGGTTCCCAGACTAATCAATGCTGGCAGGAATCCTCTAGACACCATCCAGTTTTTTCTATGTATCATTCTGCATCATTCTGTATCAATTTCTGTATGGGACGCGGGACCCGTTTTCCAGCAGGTGATGCTCCCCACCAATAGATGGAGCCTCTCCCCAGGTGCTAGCAATGTCTGCGCTAAACAGCATTGCTAGCACTGGTGGGTCTGTTTTTTCAAAAAAAAAAAAAAAAAAACTGATGGGCATTGTAATCGAGCCATGAATGTGCTCAAATTTAACAAAACGGGGAAAATAAATAAATAAATCCGGAGGTATGGATAGACACACTGATATCGTGAGTAGACTTAGTGAAACAGAGTTTTTTTTTTTTTTTGCAGCAAAAGAGGGTTTGCGCTGGCCTTGTGTCTCGTCTTGCCTTCCACCTCTTTCACTCCTCTTACGGCCTCTTCCAAAGAGAATTCAAGGAGCCCAAAAGCAAAAAGAGAGCCTTTCGCTTGCAAGTGGCACAGCACGTTTTTCTACGGTCTTCAATCACCTGAATAGAACACCCGGTCATTATCATGGTTGCATCTGGACTGAAAGTTGCCCCAAATTTCGCTACACTGACTGGTGCAGGGATCAGTGGGGAGATACAACGGTTACTCCACTGTGAGTGAGAGAGAGTTGCTTACAGCAAAAGAGGGTTTCGACCGTTGATGTATTGTCTCGTCCCGTCTTCCACCCGCTTTGAGGCCTCTTCCACAGAGAATTCAAGGGAGTCCAAATGGAAAGAGAGCCTTTCACTCACAAGTCGCTCAGCACATAATTTTTCCTAGATGTGCAAAAATGTTGTCTGTTTATTGCTGAGACATTTTGCTGTACACTTCTTTTATCAAGTCCCATCGTCATCAAGTTTTTCGAGAATTCATCAGTCATTCTCACCCCATACTCTTTCGCTCTGCGAATTTCATCATAGATCCATCCCAAAAACTCTCTCCCTCTGACCGGATTTTCACTTGCAAACTTGGCATATATAATGTTTTCCATGTGACATTTGTTGTTGTTTTTTGTCTGAGTCACATGTAATGCCTCACATGAGATGTTTATTGAGTTGATTGAAGTGTCTCCCTCTTCTGAGAACTTGACCGTAAAACCCATGGGACTAGTCACTCTAAGTGTATGGTGAGATTTGTTCACGAGCTGCGAAGTACAATTTGCCATGTCTAGAAGAGAAGCAAAAGAAGGCGGGCACATAGCTTCCACTGCTTCCAAGTCCCCTTCTTACAACCTTCGTACTGGTGACACAATAAGGCCCTGGTGCCACGCTCCGTTGCCTTCTCGCGCACCTCACCCCCCCCCCCCCCCCCCCCCCCCCCCCCCCCCCCCCCCCCCCCCCCCCCCCCCCCCCCCACATTGCTCTACACCCCCAGCCTTTTCCCCCATCTCGTCCCCTTTTCTCTAACACTCTCAAGCGAGGAGGACCAAGAAGTGGAGTGACTGCAAACGACAAAAGCGGCATCGACAGACACACAAGATGCGGAACCATCAGAGAGAGACAATGCCAGCTCACAAAGGTTGAACAGGGGTTTCTGCTATAAGGACACCCGGGGGAGGGGAGAGCTGCATTCCACAATGGGTAGCCACGGCCTCCGCCACCCTGGGTATAATCCAAAGACAAACCAAAGAGGATCTTCCTTTCAAGAGCATTCAGGGGTCGATTCTCTGGCGATGTGGACAAAAGGACAAAAGACTGGACRCTGACAACATGGCAAAGACAAGGGAAGAGGTTGAAGCTGTGGTCTGTGGATACCTCTCCAATTGAATACATATCACAACCATTTTCACAACTAGTACATTTGGGGGGCTGCAGACACCTGGGATAGTGGTCCATCGTCGGAAGCAGGGGGAGAGCAGTTATAATTAAAGTTGAGAGATCGGAAAGGTGGCTTCCCGGGGGGGGACTTGGCCACTAGTAAGTAAGAGCTATATAACGGGAATGGGTTAAATCCTGCAGCCCGAAGGGATACGAGGAAGCTCCAGAGTAACAACTGTATGGCCAAATGCCCAAACATTCATTATACTGCAATGTTGTATCTGTGGGACGCTGGACCCGCTTTCCAGCAGGTGCTGCTCCCCACCAATAGATGGAGCCTCCCGGGAGGTGCTAGGGGTGTCTGCTCTTATCAGCACTTCGAGCATCCACCCGGACAGTGTTTAAAAAAAAAAAAAAAAAAAAAAAAGGTTCTAACTGTGTTCTTGAAATAGTTACGAAGGCAAGAAACTGCCCAGTAAGAGCTGTTAAATCTCCGGTCTCTGCGGGCTACCCATAAGACCCAGAAGCCAACGATCCTACATTTGTTAGCAATTTTGCCTCTGGAAGAATTAGACTGATCCCCGAATAGAACCAGTGACTTTGTCCAGTATGAACAGTCCTTATAAGTTGCCCACCATAGCCTACTCACCCAGTCCCAGAATCCTCTGGCTACCACACATTCCCACCACAAGTGACAAGAGTCCTCCAGGGACTGGTGTGGGCAGACATCACATGCTGTTAGTATTTCCATTCCTCTTTCCGCGCACCATGCTGCTGTAGGTACACTGTTGTGCAGGTGGAGCCACTGTGGACCCGCCAGCTTGACTTCTAGAGTCTCCAATATCTCATAAATGAAAAAAGGACCCAGTTAAGCCCTGGGGCCCTTACGTTAAGATTCCTCGATTGTCTGTTCCATGAATCCCATACTCTGAAGCCTTGGATTGCAGTTTGTAACCCACCTGTGAAGAGTAGTCTGGAAATAAGACTGTTGATACCGCAGAGGAATCTGCCGTGATGTTCCAGCCCAGTCTCGTTTCGTCAACCTTCCAGCTATTGAAGGGGGGCCCTTCTCTTGCTGGTTTGAGACTGGAAGTGCCGTTCTTGCTAATTACTGTCTTAACCTTGACTTCAGAGCAGTGTGTAAGGTCTATGTCCTGGGTTGGGGGATCGATGCGGCGGAGGGTCGCCTCTGAATATCCCCATGTTGCGACTCTGATGCCCCGATGTGGCCCTTCTTTAGTACTTGATAAAAGCGCTCCGGGGAGGCAGGGTCCCGCCACCACGAACGCTGAAGAACCTCCGATGTCCCTGCTGCTAGGGTCACCGTCCATTCCCTTGGGATTGCTGCTATCAAGTCCAGCCGATGCTGACCCACATTGTGTCGCCCTCTCAGTTTCCAGCGGAGATGCTCTTCTGTGTGCCATGTTGCTGACTGACTATCCCATAGGTGAGATACCTTCCACACCCCTTTCTGGAGCCATTTCCTGGCAAAGTTGCCCAGGGAGTTGGCTACTGAGAAGGTGTGGCCTGATGCATCCAGGACAGCCAGGTTTTCGAACAAACTGGAGGAAAGGATTTCAGAGAGGGAAGATGGGGGTATGATGGTGGAGGGTAGGATCTTGGCCCAGGCGTTAAGGATTGGTCCCCAAGTAGGGGACTTCACAGACCTGAGCAGTGGGTAGTAATGGGCCGTGCTTTGGATGAACCAGCCTGGTTGGGACCTGCTCGCTTCGTTGGGGCGCAAAAGAACAGATTCGGCAATTAGGGTCATCCGTCCTTGCACACCACCAGTACTTTTGAGTCGCTTTTTGCTAACGCAGATTTGCTGCGCTCTGATAGAGAAACAAAGCGGCACGGACAATTGTCTTTTGCACTTTTGCACTTTTGCACTTTTGCCCTTGCGCCATCAGCCATTTCAGTTCGGTCAGCTGATCCCTGAATGTCAAGGCCCATCTTTTCTTTTTTTTTTTTTTCTTTTTTTTTGTAAGCAATTGTTCGAATCTATTCGTGGGGAGCAGCACGTGCTGGGAACACATCTACGATTGTGTTGAAACAAAACGGCTTGGAAAACAGCTCCCCGCCAAGACATGCTCAAGGCTGTGGGAGTATGCTCGGCCGCCTCAACCCCCTTTCCTGTCGGTGGAATGGCCTTATGCCCATGGGATGTTTGAGATGAGGTGAGATAGACCCATTGCAATGGATGTCACAGAAAGCATAAAGTCCGTCGGACTGTATCAATCATAGCAAGGACTGACTATATTTTCATTCTCAGAAAAGGTGGCTGCCTGTATCTTCATTGTGCTTGAGATTTCTGTCATTGGATCCTTTGTGATCCTATAACTGGATGCCACCACTGCATCCTTGGTTCATTTTCTTTCTATGATCTGCTGCCAGAAATACTGGGTACTCTAAACCTATGGCTAGCGGGACCTGGGGCAGTCAATGCAGGCAGGGAGGGTCAGACTTTTCTCTCAATTCTTCAAATTTTCAATTGATTGCATATGTCAGGGGACGCTGGACCCGATTCCCAGCAGGTGTGGCTTCCCACCAATAGACCGGAGCATTTTGAAAAAAGAAGAAGAAAAAAAAGGCTAGCAGGACCTACCTTCTGGGTTTCCACCCTATTCAAGGGAACATGGCCAAGTTCATGAAAGAAGAGACATGCAAAGCTGGGGTCGATCATATAACTACTAGCTAAGTGCCCGCGGTGCGGGCGGTGCGGGCTACGCCCGCAGAAATAACAAATGCAGTGGGCGACCTCACACTGCATTTCGGATGGCTCGCCTCCAAGATGTTCGTCCGCAGAAACAACGACGGCCTACCAGGGGCCACAAAACGACAGGCGCGCGAGAAATGAAAAAAGAAGGAATGAAAAGAAAGAAAGAAAAAAACAAAAAAAGGGGGGGACACAAAACGACAGGCGCAAGAAATGAAAAAAGGAAAAGGGGGACACAAAACGACGGCCAATCGGGGAAAGGAAAAAAAGAAAAATAAAGCTCCCCCCATACCGGATGGCTCGCCTCCAAAATGTTCGTCCGCATCAACGCCAGTCGTGTGCCCCGCCCCCGGGGCGCGCGCTCTCGTTTAATGGCACTGTGAACATTTCGGTACGCTCACCCCTCGGCACACTCCCCCACCCTCGATGGCCTTCATCCGCCGCCCCTCACCAAAACTTCGACCCGAATCCGGCGCGCGGCGCATCATGGACCTCCCCCCCCGGCCCAATTCTGCTTAGGGGATAG